AATTAACAATTAACATTGTGTTACTGTTAGGCCGATGTATATCATGCCTATCAAGTGGTCCGAAACCACGGAATCGACGAGAAAAACATAATTGTCTTCCATTCGGACGATTTGGCCCACAATTCACAGAACCCAACGCCCGGAGAGATCATTAACAAACCCGGAGGAAGTGATGTCTATCACGGAGTGCCCAAAGATTTTACCGGCAAAGATGTCACGCCTAAGGTATTGTAATATGACCATGATCAAATATTCATACAAATACAATTTAGATAATATTTCATTAAATTCATTGCAACAGAACTTCTTAGCGGTTCTTCGAGGAGACAAAGAGTTGGCCAAAACCGGAAAGAAAGTGCTTCAGAGCGGACCCAATGATCACGTGTTCATCTTTTTCGCAGATCACGGCTCGACTGGTATTTGCAATGAAAATGCAATTTATTGTCTAAATCTTATTCATTGATCTTTTCATTAACATTGAAACACAATATGAAGACTTGATTGCATTTCCCACTGAATACTTGTACGCAAAGGACTTAAACAAAGCCCTGCAATACATGTACGACAACAAGCGATACTCACAACTCGTCTTTTACTTGGAAGCGTGTGAATCAGGTTTGTATTCATTGCTATTAATTAAGTGAATTGTGGGCCAAATCGTCCGAATGGAAGACAATTATGTTTTTCTCGTCGATTCCGTGGTTTCGGACCACTTGATAGGCATGATATACATCGGCCTAACAGTAACACAATGTTAATTGTTAATTGATTTTATAAAATAAAATATAATACGGTTATATAAATTTTAAAAATGTATACAAACCTGATGCCTATAATTATACCAGCCATTTGACCCAGCTACTAATACAACCCAAGTTGTGCCGTTAACATTAGGTTCAAATTCTATGGCATTAATGGCCACACATAGAAGAGATAGCAATAATAAGCACTTCATCTTTTGGTTTCAATAAATGAATAAATGATTTAATTCTTTAGAAACTTTGTAAATGGTTTTACAAAACTTAATAATTTTCAATCCGGTATTTCTCACTATTTATATGATTTTTTTGAACAAAAAATTCTTGTATAATATAATAATTATGTAATTCCTTTGTTTCAATGTTTGATTGAATAATACTTAAGAAACGATAAGATTATTAAATTTATTAATAGATCGTTGAATTAAAAATATCTAAAAGAGTTCATAAACTCATAATCTAACACAAAGACACAGAATGTCTCCCACTACGACCTTGTTCAATTATGTCTGGTTACATTTATCTAGTTGAAAAAGAATTTAGTTAATAAACGATAATAAGGTCACAATTAAAAATTAATTGATTAATATTAAATATAATGTTGATTAAAGGTAATACTGAATTAAACGCAACTTAACTTATTTGATAATTTATAATCAAATGTAAGGCACAACTAATCAATCAATAGGTTTATTGAACATACATTTCAAGGTAAGCATATTATAACAAAAGGCTTTTGTTTAAAAAAGATAATAATATAGTTCAATTAGAAATATGCAAATAAAATAACTAAACATCTAGTTAAATACTTTTAAATTAAAATTAAATATACATTTTTAATTCATGTTAACAATTTGCATACATTAGAAATACTTTATATGTCCTGTATATGTAATTGTTCAAAATAGTAGTACATTGATTTTTAGATAACAACAATTAAAATGTTTATTTAATGAAATTAATAAAATGACTTAACATGGAAAATTTTAATTCAATAATTTTGATGAATTAGATATTTAAATATTTTAAAAATATTTTGCTCACAAATGCTTATATTTATTGTATTTAATGAATTCCAAACTGTGATAACAAATCTCATATTAATTTAGTAAACGTTGACATCACTTACTATTTAATTTCTAATTCATTATATCTGCACAAGTAATTTAAATATAATTGTTGTTATAAATGTGCATATTAATTAAATAGCAATTTAGTAATTTATAACTAGAATTAATTTGAAATAAATCGTGATACAATTAAAACGACAAAATAGTTTATTAATAATTATTTTATTAAATTATTGTAGTAATAAAGATATAAATCTAATATTTGTAATCACCGTAGTATTAGTAGAATAGTTTAATTATATTGTAATGTTGACAGAAAATAATTATTATAAATTATGAAATTTTATTTTAATATAAATTTGTATACTTATTTTAAAAAGATTTTATTTATTATTTATAAATTTAGATTTATACTAAAAATATATAACAAATAATGAGGAAAATGACATTCATGCAAATAAATATGTGCTAAAAAGTAAACATTAATTATACAATAGAGTGCTCATAGCCTTCTGATAAGTAAAATTTGCAATAAGATATTAAACGTTCATATATTTCATCGGCTAATTCTGGCTTCAATTGGCATATATTCACAAATACATGAAGTTTAGCGAAAACATACGGATTCTGTTTACAACAAATGACAATAAATAAAAATTATAAAAACATACGAATAAATATGATTTAGTAATCATATGCTCACATCATGCAGATTGAAACAATGTTGATGGAAACCATCGACAAGAGTGCGATAACATTGCATGTTATTTGGATGTAAGTTCTGTTTGATATTCAAAATGTCATCGTTGTTGGCCTCCAATTCCAACAAGTCTTTAATCTCATCAATGATTGAAGCGAAATGAGATATTAGCACATTTCGGGCATCCAGAAGCATGTTCAATTTTTCAGACAATCTGATTATTTTAGCAATAATTTTATTAAATAATAAATAAAATATATTAACATTATATAAAAACACGATTAATTTACATTTCCCGTTCAGCGCTATCTGTGGTCATCTGAATCTTACGTTCGAGAATATGTATGTGCACATCACGGGAATCTACGGCATCAAGATCCTTTAATGCGAAATAAGACGGTTGGTATGATTGAGTGTACGGTTGGTCTGAGCCTATTCGTTGCAAAACAAGCTGGGTTAATTTGAGAATTGATTCGCAATTCAATACTAACCCAGGAACAATGAAATTGGTTGATAACCCTTATTACCATATTGCATTACATGAGATTCAGTCGTGTCATTCTTAACGGTTTCATACTGTTGATGAAGTGTGACCGTGGCTAGTTTACTATTTTGCATCCAACTTGCACTAAATCTATCAGCTAGAAATTTTATACTCAATAATTTATATAATCAATAAGGAAAAGTAATGTGCTACGTTAAGTTGATCACTGACCAAGGTAAGTTTTTAAATCATTATCGTAATAACACGAATAACTAGATTGTGTTGAATTGGCCGCAGTGTTAGCGTAAATGTTTATTTTATTAGACAATAATTGATTAAACATTGAACCTATAATTGGGTGCAAAATATAGATATAATGATTAATATAACGACACTATTTGTACTGATATGCGGGAAACACAAACCCGATTCACACGCTTCGATGTAAAACACAAGCTGTGAATACATTTGGTTGTCGTCCATGTATTGAAGTGCGGCGTTCAAGTCATTGGCGTATAAGTAATCATTAGGAAAGGCAATTAAATCTGCAAATTTCATTAATATAAATACACATATAAATTGTGATCATGGTTATAAATAAATTTCAATTACCAGGTCCCCCGTGATCTGCAAAATATATAAACACGTTATCATTTGGTCCGCTTTGAAGCACTTTTTTCCCACTTTCAGCCAAAGTTTGATCGCCTTTTATAACACTTAAGAAGTTCTAATATCATATATTTTAATGCATTATTTAGTTAATTTTTTGAATTTAGTTTCATAGTTTCATAAATTGTCTAATATACTTCTGATGTGACATCACTTCCAGTATAATGTTTAGGAACTCCTTGGTATACATTGGGTCCATTGGGTTCGTTAATGACAACTCCTGGGTTCGTGTTATTCACATTATATGCGATGTCGTCGTAATGCATGACAATTATATTGCTGTCAGGAATGCCCCGACTCTTAACTTAGTTCGCATATATTCACCAAAACATGCAGTTTAGCGAAAACATACGGATTCTGTTCACAACAAATCACAAATAAATGAAATTCCGTTAACAATAAAAATAAAAATTATATTTATCTGTGGTGTCAATCAAATGCTCACTTCAGTCAAATCAAAACAGTTTTCATGAAAACCGTCGACAAGAGTGCGATAACAGCCCGTGTTATCTGAGCTCAGGCTCTGTTTGTTATTCAAAATGTCTTCGATTGTCTCCAATTCCAACAAATCTTTAACCTCAGTAACAATTTTAACCAGGTGCATTATCAGGAACTCACGGGCCACTAGGTAGATCTCCAATCTCTTAACCAATCTGATTATTTTAGTTATAATTTCAATTAAATTATGGTTAATATATAGAAAATAAGCAAAATATTTGCATACATCTCCCGTTCAGTACTATTATTAGAGGTCTGAAGTGTGCGATTGAGAGCATGTATGTGAGTGTCGCGGGCATCGACAGCATCGATATCATTGTCTGGGTTTGCACCATAACTGGACGGTTGGGTCGAACCTATTGTGTTAATAATCTGATTAATTTGAAAATTAATTAGTAATTCAATACAAACCCATGAACAGTGAAATGATTTGATTGCTTATGGTGATATTACCATATTGCATTACATTAGAATCAGTGGTGAGTTTCTTAACAGTTTGGTATTGATTCTGAAATGTCATCTGGGCCAAATTATTAGCTTCGCTGTTTTGCATCCAGTTTGCACTAAATTCATCAGCTAAATACATATACAACATTATAATCTAGAAATACTAGCAAAATAAATCGGGCTATTTAAGATGACTGACCAAGGAAATTGTTTATATTCTGATCGTAATAACACGAATAACTAGATTGTGTTGGATCGGCCGCAGTGTTGGCATAAACGTTGATATTATTGGGCAATAATTGATCAAACATTGAGCCTATAATTGAATTAATTGTGATTTCATATAATAGATATGATTATAAAAATACAATTTTATAATTACTAAAACAAACACAAACCCGATTCACACGCTTCGATGTAAAAGACAAGCTGTGAATACATTTGGTTGTTATACATGTATTGAAGGGCAGCGTTCAGGTCCTCGCCGTACAGGTAGTCGTGTGGAAATGCGATTATATCTACATTTTTAATTAACGTAAATTCACTTTATAATTATGATCATGGTTATCAATGAGCGTCAAATACCAGGCCCGCCGTGATCTGCGAAGTATATAAACACGTTATCATTTGGTCCGCTTTGAAGCACTTTCTTCCCGGTTTGAGCCAACGTTTGATCGCCTTTTATAACACCCAAGAAGTTCTGATACCATATCATATATTATTTAATAAATCATTATTATATTTTATATATAACTTTGTATATTATGTAATTATTTTATATTCACCTTCGGTGTGACATCATCTCCTGTGTAATGTTTGGGCACTCCTTGGTATACATTGGGTCCATTGGGTTGATTAATGACAACTCCTGGGTTCGGGTTATTATCATTATATGCGATGTCGTCGTAATGCATGACAATTATATTGCTGTCAGGAATGCCCCGACTCTTAACCAATTGGTAGGCGTGATAGACATCGGCCTAGCATTTAAACATTACATTAAAATAACAAAATTTTTGTATTAGTTTTAACTGTACCTGGTGTCTGTAGTTTTCCCATTTATACGACCCTGCTACTAATACTGCCCAATTGGCCCCATTGAATGTCTGGCCATTAATATCTGCAATTAAATAGAATAACGATATTAATAATATGTATTTCATTTTATAATTTGATTAGTTTTAATATTTATCACTGAATTCAATAAAACTTAACAAAAGCTACCAAAATGTTTTAAAGATACAATTTATTGTAATTTATTTGCATTATTTATAAGTTATGCAAACATGTTATACAATATGATGTAAACCTTATTTACTGTCAATTTAATCACAATTTGACAAAAAATTATATTTATTAAATGTTTAAATTTTATAGTAAACACTGTTTACTAAACAGTTAGTAAAAAAATAGACACAATATAACATGTTTTGTGTCAAAATGTATCTTTGTTTTCAGATAATTCTGCATTGAATTTACAGTTTAGTAAATTATATTTAATCTATAGTTAAATTTCATAATTTTATTTGTAATTTAATTTAAAATATAATTATAGATAAAACTTTATTAACACATAAAATGTCAAGCAACTTCCGTAAAATGTGCTTGTTTGTAATTAATTGGAATCGATTGCTTTTTAATTTATAGATAAAAAGATGAGCATAACTTATTTAAAGCTAATTAAACATAAACAGTCTATAATATAGACTCTATATTATCTAGATTCTTTAAAATTAAATTAAAATAGTTTTGTTTTTAAGTTTTGCATAAAATAAAGCGCAGAAAAATACACAAAACATAAAACAAAATGATTTTGTGTCCATAACGTTAAACACTATCATTATATCAAATGTTTAATTGCATAGAAAGATATCTCCTATTAATTGATTGTTGCAAATCACTATGCGTTGAATAATCAGTTTATTAAATAGAATTTACAATCGTTTTAGCAAATTATTAATTAATTATACATTAGACATTATATTAATACTAATTTTTAAATAAAGAATTTTTTACAAAAATTAATTTTTTAAGTTGTAATCGGTTATAATTAAAAATTTTATAAATATTTTATTAATTATTTATAAATTTGGATTTATTAGTAAAAATTTTATTTGAAAATTTGATAGGTAATAGAAAACCTGGTTTATATGCAAACCATGATTGACGTGACTTAAATAATTAGGTGTTCGTATCCTTCCGATAGGTTTTGTTTGCAATACGATATCAAACGCTGAGATACTTCTTCAGCCAACTCTGGCTTTAGTTCGCATATATTCACCAAAACATTCAGTTTAGCGAAAACATAGGGATTCTGTTCACAACAAATCACAAATGAATGAAATTTCGTTAATAATACAAATAATTATTATATTTATCTGTGGTGTCAATCAAATGCTCACTTCAGTCAAATCAAAACAGTTTGCATGAAAGCCGTCGACAAGAGTGCGATAACAGCCCGTGTTATCTGAGCTCAGGCTCTGTTTGCTATTCAAAATGTCTTCGATTGTCTCCAATTCCAACAAATCTTTAACCTCAGTAACAATTTTAACCAGGTGCATTATCAGGAACTCACGGGCCACTAGGTAGATCTCCAATTTCTTAACCAATCTAATTATTTCAGTCATAATTTCAATTAAATTATGGTTAATATATGGAAAATAAGCACAAGATTTGCATACATATCTCGTTCAGTACTATTAGTGGAGGTCTGAAGTGTGCGATTGAGAGCATGTATGTGAGTGTCGCGGGCATCGACAGCATCGATATCATTGCCTGGGTTTGCACCATAACTGGACGGTTGGGTCGAACCTATTGTGTTAACATGTTGATTAATGTTAGAATTAATTATTAACTAAATACAAACCCATGAACAGTGAAATGATTTGATTGCTTATGGTGATATTACCATATTGCATTACATTAGAATCAGTGGTGAGTTTCTTAACAGTTTCATATTGATTCTGAAGCGTCATCTGGGCCAAATTATTAGCTTCACTGTATTGCATCCAACTTGCAGTAAATTCAGAACCTAATATTACATATACAACATTATAATCTAGAAATATTAGGAAAATTAATCGAGTTATTTAAGATAACTAACCAATGAAATTGTTTATATCCTCATCGTAGTAACACGCATAACTAGATTGGGTCGGATTGGCCCCAGTGTTAGCGTATACGTTTATATTATTGGGCAATAATTGATCAAACATTGAACCTATAATTGGATGAATTGTAATTTTATATAATAGATATGATTATTAAACTACAATTTTATAATTAACAAAAGAAATACAAACCCGATTCACACGCTTCGATGTAAAAGACAAGCTGTGAATACATTTGATTGTCATACATGTATTGAAGGGCAGCGTTCAGGTCCTCGCCGTAAAGGTAGTCGTGTGGAAACCCGATTATATCTACATTTTTAATTAACGTAAATACAATTTATAATTATGATTATGGTTATGAATGAGCTTCAATTACCAGGTCCGCCGTGATCTGCTAAGTATATAAACACGTTATCATTTGGTCCGCTTTGAAGCACTTTTTTCCCGCTTTGAGTCAACGTTTGATCGCCTTTTATAACACCCAAGAAGTTCTGATATCATATATTATTTAGTAAATCATTAGTTAAACGATAATTGTTTGTATTTTTATATTAGTTGAATAATTTATATACAATATTATTATATTTTATTTATAACTTCTTAATTAATTTATATTCACCGTCGGTGTGACATCATCTCCTGTATAATGTTTGGGCACTCCTTGGTATACATTGGGACCATTGGGTTCGTTAATGACAATTCCTGGGTTCGTGTTATTCACATTGTATGCGATGTCGTCGTAATGCATGACAATTATATTGCTGTCAGGAATGCCCCGACTCTTAACCAATTGGTAGGCGTGATAGACATCGGCCTAGCATTTAAACATTACATTAAAATAACAAAATTTTTGTATTAGTTTTAACTGTACCTGGTGTCTGTAGTTTTCCCATTTATACGACCCTGCTACTAATACTGCCCAATTGGTCCCATTGAATGTCTGGCCATTAATATTTGCAACTAAATATAATAACGATATCCATAATATGTATTTCATATTATAATTTGATTAGTTTTAATATTTATCACTGAATTCAGTAAAACTAAACAAAAGCTACCAAAATGTTTTAAAGTAATAATTTATTGTAATTTATTTGCATTATTTATAAGTTATGCAAACATGTTATACAATATAATGTTAACCTTAATTGCTGTCGATTTAACCAAAATTTGACAAAAAAATTATATTTATTAAATGTTTAAGTTTTATAGTAAACACTGTTTACTAAACAGTAAGTATAAAAATAGACACAATATAACATGTTTTGTGTCAAAATGTATCTTTGTTTTCAGATAATTCTACATTGAATTTACAGTTTAGTAAATTATAGTTAATCTAAAGTAAAATTTCATAATTTTATTTGTAATTTAATTTAAAATATAATTATAGATAAAACTTTATTAACACATAAAATGTCAAGCAACTTCCGTAAAATGTGCTTGTTTGTAATTAATTGCAATTTATTTGCTCTTTAATTTATAGATAAAAATATGAGCGCAACTTAATTAAAGCTAATTAAACATAAAGTAGAATCTATACTATCTAGATTCCTTAGATTCAATACAATAGATTCTATGGTTCAAAAATTAATAAAATAAAATAAATTTATGCTATGTTAAAGTAAAATATGAAAATGTTTTGAAATGTTTTGAATGTGAATCAATAGATGTCATTAATGCATATCTTTTAACGTTTCTCACAAGAATGCAATAAATGTTAGCCTAAATTTATTTGGTATTATTTGGGTATATTCTGGTCACTGTTTGTCATAATTGAATTAATGTGCACATAACTGACCATGAACATATTTTTGACATTTACATGATTATGGGAAAGTCATGTTAATGTTATGGATCCTAAAATATTATAACATGTTATTTATATCGTTTTGAAAAGATCTGCAGTATTTCTCTTTTACAAAGTGGCATTTTGTGTAAGAATTTTTATTTACAAATAACTAATTATAAATTACTAAATTATTTACTTTTCCTGAGAGTACTGTAATAGAGTATAACTAATTCAATAATTTATATTTATTGTAACAATTTTGAATAAACATCATGATTATAAATAAAATTATAATAGGCATAAAAATCACAATATTTGACATTATTTGATATATTGATATTTAACTAAAAAACTGGTGAAAACTGGGTTTACATTGAGTTAGTGATGAAATGCAAACATTAGACCTGATTATAGAGTATTGTCTGAAAAATTTTCTAATTTACTGCAAATATGATTCAGTGCTCATCACTACTCGCTTTCCTAAGCATAACAAGCGATGCAT